TAGAAAGTAGAGGGCGTGAGAATCACATGATCTCGATGACGCAACAGAACCATCGACGTACCGACAAAATATAACCATCGAAGTAGTTTGGTTCGCTAGTGAAGAGTATATTATTTAACTTCTATTGTATTGTTTTACTTCAATATTTTTTCCTTTTTGTTAAATGCATATTGTTTTTCTAGAGTCATACATTTACCTGAGAACGCAAATTCTTAAACATATAACTGTCATTAATTATATTTTCATATTACGCTTGAAGAAGAGAAAGTGCTTGAAACTTCCTTACTTATATATATATATATATATCGATGTTTTGCTTTTACATTAATTGTATTTTGTGCGTTTTGTCTCTCATCACACAGCTTATTTAATAAGTTATAGTATTAAACAAGGGCTTCTTGTGCTGTAACTATAGGAGACAAAAGATAGATCTGGAATGCTATTGTTACGACAGCGGAAGTCACGTGACCCTGGAACACGTGATGAATTTCTCGAATGATCATGAATTATCGGGAAGGAACGAGTTTGTTCAAGACGTCCTCTTTTTTAGTATATAAGCTTGGCAGAAAAAAGCCCGCGGGATTGAATGAAGAGATTTCCGAGTAATTTACAATTCTCTTTCGAGCTAGTGTGTGTTTTCGAGATTGTGAATCGCTGTGATTTATAGCGTGTATTATAAAAGTTGTTAAGTTTAAAGTGACGAGAAACATATTGACTGTGGAAGTACTGTGTATTAAAAGTTAGTATCGAGGAAGAATAAACTGGTTTAATCAAGAAATGACTTGTATCGCTGAAGTTCATCGGGAAGAATTTTACCGGAAATTATCAAACAAGCAGATACGCAACACTACTGTTGTTAGCTATATTTTTAATTCTGTAATCTAAATGTTAGCTAGAAGAAGCTTCGTTTCCTAATGATGACGTTCAGATCAAAAGGTTTAGATAGGCCTATAACACTTAGAAAACTCTCTAAGCATGTGACGTCAAGTTTTTTTTTTTCTAGTACACTCAAAGCTAGATTGTAAATACAAGACAGTTGTGAACTATATAGTTTTGTTGTTGTTTTCTAGATAAAGAGTTGAATCGGTGCAGTATATTTTGACGAAGTATTTAGATAAGTGTTTGTTATCTCGCTTTCTGATTTACCCTGTACAAGTAAATTGATAAGTTTCACCTTAGTTAATGTCACGTAGACTAACAACAATTTACGAACAATATACAAGCGCTAAAGCTTGTAGAAACGTTAAAGGAGCAAATACACTAATGTGTGATTGTTACGTGGACTAGACCTTGAATTACTTTCACTGGACAATTTAAAAGAACCCGCCAAAGAAAGGATAATGTTACAACACTATTTTTAAACACCTCTGAGATTCAATTTGCAAAGAACAAATTAAATGGAAAGTGGAAAGCTATGGGAAGACCTAGCATGGCATGATGGTTAGGATGCTCAACTCACAATCTAAGAGTCGGGGTTCGAATCCTCGTCACCAAACATGCTCGCCTTATCAGTCGTGGGGACGTTATAATGTAACAGTCAATCCCACCATTCCTTGGAAAAAAGTACCCCAAGAGTTGGCAGTGGTGGTCATACTTATTGTGGGTCTTTGTACAGGATAAATTTTGAGTTCCCTGTTCGTTAGCAGACCTTTTAAAGTTAATTGGATTAAGGCACACCCTACATGGCCGCCACTGGTGGGTGGTGTTGACTGGCTACCTTCCATCTAGTTTATCGCTGCTATATTAGGGACAGCTAGTACAGATAACCCTTGTGTAGCTTTGCACGAAATTCAAAACAATTCAAATCAAGACATCTGCAGTTAATGTGATTTTCGTCACAAATTTTAGGTCTACTGGTTTGTAATGCTTTGCCAACTTTCGGTGTTTAAGCCATAACTTTTATTATAATTTATTGTTTCATTAATTGGGTACCAACGCTGTTAGCCACATTTTCGGCCGTAATCCCAATAAATTTAGCTAGCTTAGAAGATTGAAATTAGTTCTAAATCCACATACTAAGCTACTCTTTTACCAATGAATAGTGGAATTAACTGTCACATTATAATGTCCCCATGGCTGAAAGGGCGAACATGTTTGGAAACAGGGATTTGAACCCAAGACCTACAGATTACAACTCCAATGCCCTAACCACTAGACAATGCCAGGCCCCTAGCATTTCTTATATTCTTTATTTAGTTAGGTGTATATATTTTATCAATAATGTTACAACAGTGTTTACACATACAAGTTTCCAGCCCTGTGTGCAGTTTCAACATGATTGTTGATCAAGAAATATGACTAAGTTCTTTTTGGCCCTAGTTACCTATATTTCTGAGTCATTCATCCTATGGTATCATGTGCACTTTCTCTCGGAAAGATGGTTGCAAAATAGGATACTCTACATAAAGGTTGAGAGCAATCTTTTCAACTGCAGGCTAGTTAATACTAGAGGATACATATATTCTAACGTATAGCCCGTCAAAATTGACGAGGCAAGTACTACCACTCTCACCCCATAATATACCCTAAACTCGCATTCCATAGCTAACAAAAATATATAAAATTTGCGAAATCAAGCTTGAATAACAAAGAGGCACGAAAGTGCAGTCAAACATTAGTATATTGTTTTTGAGCCAATCAAAATTAAGATAATTTATGAAATGAATTCGTGGCGTATTAATATAATAATTATTGGTAAAAATCCGTTAGATTAATAATTTCTAATATACAGAAAAGCCAGTGTGTTTTGATAATACTACATTCCAACAATAGCTATTATGTCATGTTGCTAAGCAACAAAAGTATAACCTAATATTGTTGTTAGTTTATGTACTGAAAGTATAAAATGAAATGCATAGACAACAAAACTGGAAAAATATTGGTTGATTTCTTAATTTTGAGTCTCGGTTGATTAATGAGGTTTTTTTTATTAAAAACGTCGGTGATATAAAATAAAATAGATTAATTCTGAAACGATTTTAGTTTAAAATTGAATCAATATTTTTACTTTCATGATAAATTTTATGCACTTGGCTCTAGGGCAGGTGATTCCACACTAGTCTTTATTTTAGGCTTATTATACCAACACTCACTACACTTATAAGGTTTCACGACACCCTCCCCCCTCCGTCACTAAAATCGTAATGGGCAGACAGTAATCGAACAATTCTATTCGGATAAATTAATTTTGGCTTTCATGACTCCTATTTTGAGTAATCAAGCATGACGTGATGCAACACACACTAGGGGCAGCACTATAGAATGGAAAAAGATTTACAGATCATTCAGATAGAACAACTGTTTAACTGATCCAGGAAAGACGTTGTCTTTTTTTCTGTTTACTCATCCCTTTCACTGATGCGAATAAATATTGATCGATTTTCACTTTCTTGCACAATGTTTCATCTCAAGTTTCAGACTCAATAAAAGCCATAATTCAGATTTACTTTGCAATACACTTCCTGAACAAAATACTCAACACTGTCAAAATGTAGTTTTGATACATGCTCTTCCCCTGTGACTTTATTTCAGCTATGGTTGTCGAGTGGCTCACTGATCTGCGTATTCAAAATCATTTTATTATACTGTACTCAATCCTCTGTATAACAGTTCACTCCGTGGTACGCTATTCAGGTATCTCCAGCAAATAACAGGCATTTCATAGGTAATTTGATGTCACCGAAAATTGATCACTTTTGGGAAGTGTATGTAACAGCCCTTTATGACTGAAAATATTCATACATTCAGATCATAAATATGAGTTCATACTGAGGATTTAGAATTTTCAAGATAGAGATATCCCTTGTACTTGATGCATTGGAAAACAGAGGAGTATGGAAGCCAGTACCATCCATAAAGAAAACTGCAACAAAAGTTGTATTCCAGCCACGATAAGTAAAGTACGGCATCTTGTAACAGGTGAGAATCCATGAACACAAAGGTAAGTGGCAAAAACTGTGTTTCAGCCCAGGCAACAATTTGTAACATAATCAAGAAGGATATCATCTGTAAACAAGGCCAACAGAGAATAGGTTCATCAAGATAAAGCTTCAAGTAATACCTCCCAATCAACCATCACATATCTCAAGAAGCTGAAGAATAAAACAGATACTTATGCTATTTCATATGATGACACATCAGGCAAGTTGTTAAATTCAGTGCTTATGGATTTTTGTGAGACTAGACTGTTGATATGGGTGCTGAAAAACTACATAAAATAAATGGATTATGGAGAGCATGCAGGAAGAAGTGGTGTGACTTGGATATAACAGCTTTATAATGGAGCTTTTTTGTAATGAAAACTATGCTGCGGGGCTATTATGAAGATTCACATTCATCAGATAGAGCATACGATATAGGTGGCGATATAGTGAGGATCCACTATCATCTTAATATAATGTACTCTTGCATAGTTTAAACTAATGGTAGTCATCATACTACAGTGGCTCATTATTACCTTTTAAACAATTTATCAAACATTAAGGTGTAGAAGTAAAAGTTTTGAATTAGTTGTGTTCAAAATATGATAGGAAAAATCTCATTCGTGGAAAATGAACAAGAGTTTATAAGCTCCGTTCACAAAATTTTGTAATGTTCAACAAATACCATTTATGAAGTAAACATTAAGCAACGAATCCTCTTTCTTGCCTTTAGAAATAGGCTCATTTTTTTAAAATTACCACAGACGTGCACAACGATTCTTTAACTTTGGTGTCCCATCCCTTTTTACAATTTTAATTTTCTTCTCTTCAATTAAGCTTTCACATGTATATATATAAGGAGAAACAAAAACTATTCTATGTATTTTTACCTAACAATATGGTATTTATATAATTTTCTGTTGCTTGTTTTTGCTGTCAATGTTCCACTGTTTTTTATCTTGATAAAAGTAAATTAAACATAAATATATTAGTTGATTTTATTTACTGATCTGTTAATGACAAACTGTTAAATACTGCTGTAAAAGTTAACTTTTTTTTACATGCTTTAAACCTCCTTTGAGGTAAGACTGTAATATAGAACACAACTATGTCAAACTTTCCCATTTAAGATGATTAATTCTGTCATAATTACCATGAATAATAATGTATTGTCCCGCAGTGAGTTAGTGAACTTACAGTGTTAAAATCTGGGGTTTGATTCCCTAATGTGGACAGAGTGCAGATAACTGTTGTGTAGCTTTGTGCTCATAAACAAATTAATGTATCACCATTATAAAAGGAAACCAAAGATGTCGGGTGTTCCTGCATCAAGCATGGGAAGGTATAAAACAGCCTATGTTAAAAGATACTTTAATTGTTTGTTAGTAATTCTAACACAAGCAAGAAATCCTAGAACAGATAGTATTTTTTTTATCTCAATATCAGTATAATTAAGAAAATTTCCCCAAACTTTCTTTCAGGTCTTGATCTTTTTCTTTTGGAAAATAATCAATAAAAAAAAGGACTCTGAACAAAATGAGGATTTTTAACTGTTTCTATTATTCATTTTATTGTAAACTCAACTACATAGTTTAACACCTAATTAACAGCAATATAGAAAATAAGTCATTCCATCATTATTACAAACAACATCCACCAAAAATAAAAAAACTGTGGAAAGTCGCATAAAAAACAGTTCATTGCAAAAAAAAGAACCGTGGAAAGTCACATAAAAAACAGTTCATTGCACAAAAAAGAACTGTGGAAAGTCACATAAAAAACAGTTCATTGCAAAAAAAAGAACTGTGGAAAGTCACATAAAAAAACAGTTCATTGGAAAATAAAAGAACTGTGGAAAGTCGCATAAAAAAACAGTTCATTGCAAAATAAAAGAACTGTGGAAAGTCGCACTGAATGTTTCTGATGAAGTTGCTTACTTTTCGATGCATTCATCAATGGTGTAGCTATCCTCCACTGCTTTCTCTGAAATTATAATTATAACAAAGTTTAAGAACTACAAGGCCTGAACAACAAAATTAATTTTGAAGTTACTTCTTCTAGCATGATGTGAACAACTAATTACCGTTCTCTCCTGATTACAAGAGCTGACATTTAGTGTTAAGATACAGATTTGAAACCATGTAATAAAATTTAAGTTTAGATATGAGATTAACAAATTTTTCCAGGAACACATCACCATAATACTGTAGTTTTCAATTTGTTGACTAGAGATTTACTATAATTTTGTATTTCAAACTTATTTTGACTATAATAAGTTGTATAATAAACTGTCTTTTGTCTCCTAAGATTATCATTACAATTGCCACCTGAATCTGGCCTTTGTTCATTTAGCATAACAAACAGTTTTCACAGTTAACACTAAACTTCCATTTTTATTCATCAAACTTTCCACTAGCAGAAAGTGCAACAGTCTAGGGTCACCCGGGCCACAAAATATAAACAAACTCGATTCTGATAAACAAACGTTTTTAGTTTAATTTCTTCTTAATTAAGACAATTTCTTCATGCATAATTTTTTACTGACACTGAAATTTCTGGTCTTTTTCCAAAGCTTCCAGTGCTTAAATATTTTGAGCTCATGTTCCATGGCTTCGAGGACCTGTGCAAACCCCGTATTCATTATTATTCGTTAAAGATCATTAAAGTAAGATACAAAAAATATGTTTTGAAGCTACCAACTTAACACTTATGTAAGAAATTATTTATAAATCAGATTGATCACTTCTTTTTTCAACCTCCTCACCTTGTTCATAGTAATCATAGACTCGAGCCGTTGCTGGTTGAATGTTTTCAACAGCCACAGTTTGACGGGCAAAGAATTTCAGACATGTCAGATTATCGGTAAGCTAAAAAGAAAAAAAAAATATGGCAAGTAATCTCTTTCCTCTGAAAGCATATTTCAAGTGTATGTAATACAATACTGAAATAAAATCACACACATATAAATAATGATTAACTTGAAATATTACTTTCTAGACATGTAAACTTTCCACAGATCAGTTCTCTTTCTTTCTTTTTATGACCTTAATCCCAACTAGTTTGGGGTCTGCTGGTATTTTGAAAACCAAGGAGTTTTTAAATCCAGGTGGTTGGCCTATTTGGCACCATATAGGAAGAGCATGTTCAATGACAGGGATTCGAACTCGCAACCCTCAGAGAGCAAGTTAAGTGCCCTAACCACCAATGAACAGTGGGGAGGATGAAAGTAACTACAATGTGTGGTTTAAGTCACCAAAACGTATTGTTACGTCTCCGTTTGTTAATTGATTTTCCGTAACTTCGTTCCGACGAAACTTAAGCGACACAAGTTCTTTCTTAATAAAACTGGTTTATTCTTTCCGAATACAACTTTACCGATACACTCAACTTCAACAATCGCTATAACGACGAACGTGCTCAATAATACTTCTGACTGCAGATCAGTTACTCACTATCTACACACACATTACATTACCGCGTCACATTGTCCCCTCTTATATATACCCGCCTACCCCATCTAGCAAACACTAGAGCATTCATGAAGAAACAAGATAGTTCTAGAACCGTGGCGTCACAGTGGTCATGTGACTCGCTGACGCAACAGTATTGTCATACAGCTTGTTATCTTTCAAATTGTGTTTAGGTTATCAAACAAAACACTGTGAACCCAAAAACAGTCATGCAATAACAGGCTATTATCTTTCACAATTTTTACAATATGTATAACTTCAAAATTGTGAGTTTTTATTTTGTAACATCTACCAAAACACTCGCATGTTGAGAACTAAAACAATGTCATTGCTGAAAACATTAGGCTTTAGTATTTCCAGTCTGTGGTACCCATAATAGTAACAGTCATTACTGAAAACATTAGGCTTTAGTATTTCCAGTGTGTGGTACCCATAATAGTAACTGTCATTACTGAAAACATTAGGCTTTAGTATTTCCAGTGTGTGGTACCCATAATAGTAACTATCATAACTGGAAACATTGGGCTTAAGTGTCTCCAGTATGTGGTATCCATAATAATAACTGTCATTGCTGGAAACATTAGGCTTAAGAATCTCCAGTGTGTGTGGTATCCATAATAGTAACTGTCATTACTGGAAACATTAGGCTTAAGTATCTCCAGTGTGTGGTATCCATAATAGTAGCTGTCATTACTGGAAACATTAGGCTTAAGTATCTCAGTATGTGGTACTCATAATAGTAACTATCATTACTGGAAACATTGGGCTTAAGTATCTCCAGTATGTGGTATCCATAATAATAACTGTCATTACTGGAAACATTAGGCTTAAGAATCTCCAGTGTGTGTGGTATCCATAATAGTAACTGTCATTACTGGAAACATTAGGCTTAAGTATCTCCAGTATGTGGTATCCATAATAGTAACAACTCAAAGTAATGTGCATAGTCATGAAGATGTTCCAATTGTTATAATTGAATTTAACTTTTCCTGCCAGAAAAATGTGACATGTTTTTGCATTCATGCATCTCTTTTAATTATAAACTTTGAAGCTGGAATAATAACTTACAGCTCCTTGAAGAGTTTTTCTCTTTTTTTGAAACACTCACCTCCGAAAAGTAGAAATTTACTTGCTTTGCTTCTGTCTCAACTCTTTTCAAGTAAGTATTACTGCCACTTCTGACCAGCTGAAAAACGTTACATAATGTTCATCTACACAATTTAGAAAAAATCTTGAGAATACTGCTCTTCCCTCCAATCTAATAACTACAAAAACTCACCATTTCTTACGATACTCATAACTAACATATCTGACACAGAAGTATTTAAATTACAGGGTGTCTATCACTGAATAAACAATTAACGTTATGCCTGATGTACATTTATATAGTTAGAGTAACAATATTTTGGTAGTTCAAACAGAGTTCTATCATCCATTCCTTATTTTAACACAGTACATTCTATATCTTGAAAAACAATCAATAAAGTTGCCTTTCTTTTGTTGCAAAAAATAGATATTGTAACACGTAGATTTTATTTGGGGATATCATTACAACTTTACTGAAGCATACTAATACTGAAGTCGAGTATATTATATTAAAATGATTTTATGCTCTATCTGACTGCCATGCACCTAAACAATAATCCTGCAGCTTAGTTTCTGTTCCAAAAGCCTCATTCATAATGCTGTTTTGTCAAATGCATACCACTACTTCCTCCATGCTTTCCATAAGCAGTCTAGTGTACAATGAAGAGAATTTCCTAGCTCCTGTTTCAACAGTCTGATCATAAAGAAATCCACATGCAATGTATCTGCCAATCTTACTAGTATGTCTTCATGTAGCCTTATTTTGGTGAACTCATACCCTGTTGACCTTTTTCAGGTCCCTTCCTAAACGATCTTGGTTTCCCATGTTGATCCATATTCCTGTCTTACCAATACTATTCAGCTACACCCCATCTTGGAAAAACTATAAGTCCCTGATCTGAACATATCTTTATGCTCCAAGTATACGAGTATTTTACATTGGAAAAAGGTTGTTAAATACCCTTCCAAAAGGCAATCAATTACCAGTGGCATTAAAGTACCTACAAAATGCCAAACATTGTCAAAATGCAGTTCTGATACATGCATGACTTTATCCTGGCTGTGATTTGCTGATTTTCATATCATACTCAATGCTCTGTAGAAGCAAAAATTGGCATAAGATTTTCTCAAGTCTATACAATATGTGAATTTAACTATCTCAAAACATCATGCTAGTGAAATAATATGATGATCAATTCTTAATAAACAGTAGAAACTAAAGAAGGTTTAAGTTGTTTTTTAACAATCTTACCTCTTGAACAAATGGTTCATCAACTTCATACCCTGACGGCATTTTAATCTCCAGGATAGCCATATTTGACTCCTTATCTTTCCCAGTGTATCTAATTAGTAGAAATATTATTAGCTGCTATTTGAGATAAATTATTCATATAACCCTCTACCACTTAAAAAAACATACGTATGAAACCCTAGAAATAAATTGGGGGAAATAACTGAAATACTGACCAAAATTTTTATTTTTTATGTGAATCATATGCTATTGGGTGCCATGTAAAAAAAACTCATTTATGGACTCACATAAAATTTGATACATCAATAAGTTACATATATCTGTTTATAAAGCCACTTTGGTCCACAATGATGCTTCAACATTAATTCTCTGTTTAATACGGTCTTGAGTATAGATTTTTTAACTATCTAATACAGTCCTAACAATACTTTATTTAACCATCTAATACAGCCCTAACAATACTTTATTTAACCATCTAATACAGCCCTAATTATACTTTATTTAACCATCTAATACAGCCCTAATTATACTTTATTTAACCATCTAATACAGCCCTAATTATACTTTATTTAACCATCTAATCCAGCCCTAACTATAGTCTATTTAACATCTAATACAGTCCTAAAAATACTTTATTTAACATCTAATACAGCCCTAATTATAGTCTATTTAACATCTAATACAGCCCTAACAATACTTTATTTAACCATCTAATACAGCCCTAACTATAGTCTATTTAACATCTAATACAGCCCTAACTATAGTCTATTTAACATCTAATACAGCCCTAACAATACTTTATTTAACATCTAATACAGCCCTAACTATAGTCTATTTAACCATCTAATACAGCCCTAACTATACTTTATTTAACCATCTATTACAGCCCTAATTATACTTTATTTAACCATCTAATACAGCCCTAACAATACTTTATTTAACCATCTAATACAGCCCTAATTATACTTTATTTAACCATCTAATACAGTCCTAACAATACTTTATTTAACATCTAATACAGCCCTAACTATAGTCTATTTAACATCTAATACAGTCCTAAAAATACTTTATTTAACATCTAATACAGCCCTAACTATAGTCTATTTAACATCTAATACAGCCCTAACAATACTTTATTTAACCATCTATTACAGCCCTAACTATACTTTATTTAACCATCTATTACAGTCCTAACAATACTTTATTTAACCATCTAATACAGCCCTAACAATACTTTATTTAACATCTAATACAGCCCTAATTATACTTTATTTAACATCTAATACAGCCCTAACTATAGTCTATTTAACATCTAATACAGCCCTAACAATACTTTATTTAACCATCTAATACAGCCCTAACAATACTTTATTTAACCATCTAATACAGCCCTAACAATACTAGTTAGGACTGTATTAGATGGTTAAATAAAGTATAATTAGGGCTGTATTAGATGGTTAAATAAAGTATAGTTAGGGCTGTATTAGATGGTTAAATAAATTACTTTATTTAACCATCTAATACAGCCCTAACTATACTTTATTTAACCATCTAATACAGTCCTATTAATTATACTTTATTTAACCATCTAATACAGCCCTAACTATACTTTATTTAACCATCTAATACAGCCCTAATTATACTTTATTTAACATCTAATACAGCCCTAACTATAGTCTATTTAACATCTAATACAGCCCTAACAATACTTTATTTAACCATCTAATACAGCCCTAACAATACTTTATTTAACCATCTAATACAGCCCTAAC